ATTCACCATCCACAAAACATGGCTGCTGTCTCTCCTCTTTCTGTTCCCTCAACCCTGTGTGAAAACCCCACCTCTTCATGAATATAGAAATATCTATGCAGTCTGAGGCTGTGTTAGGAAAACAGTGGCATCTTGTGGCCAAACCACAGAATGTCAGTCCTGAACATTTAATTTACTCCACACAATAATTTACTGCACACAAACAGTGTTGAAACAATGAGAGCTGTTTCCCCATCTCACACAGTGAGAAAACAGGGGGTTATTTGTAGAGTGGGTTGATGGAGACAGGATCATTTTCTAGTAATATAGTTCTCCCATTTTCTAAACAGTTTTGACATAATGGGAGAGATTTACTAAAACTGGAGTGCTCACAATCTGGTGCAGCTGTACATCGTAACCAATCAGCTTCTAACTTCAGCTTGTTCAGTTAAGCTTTGACAAAAAAAACTGGAAGCTGATTGGTTTCTATACAGAGCTGCACCAGGTTTTGCACTCTCCAATTTTAGTAAATCCTCCTTAATATTTTGGCAATACATGGTTAACAAATGGATAAACCTATACAATACGCAGGCAACAACCAGCCATTTGCGACAGTATGCCTGACATAAATGGGCAGTCATTTCACTACACGAGCCACAAATAGGGAATCATATACAATACATACACAGAAAATGGGCAAATATGCAACATGCGGGCAACATACTGGCATTGCAGTCATAATAGTTAATCTATAACATTCAGATATTTAAACAGTCAGTTCCACTGGAAAAATCCATCAGCTACTGGAAACAAAAATAGTCAATTGACACATTCTTGAGGCTTGCAGACACACAGGTTCTTATAGTGAGAGTTTGAAATTGCAATAAGCACCTGAATGTCTGCAAGCATCAAGACTGTGTCAATTAAGCGTTGGTTTGATCTGTATAGTCTGACAATCACAACAGAATATGGGAAATGGGCACTCTCAGGAAGGTGAGAAATGGCAAACAATGTTTTAAATTTTAAAAATGTTTTTATGTGCTGGGAAATATATTTAAAAATTCTACATAAAAAGGGGGGTTGTGCTTTAATGATAACTCAAAATATACAAACTTGCCTCTGTCAGTGGCCTTTCCCTCTCCAACACCCTCAAACTACTTGCTGTTACTGAAAACAGCTGTTTCTTCCTCTGCAGCTGCCCTCTCCCATGTGGCCTTCAATGGACTCACTCATCTAGACAGAGTATGCAGAGGTGGTTTCGGACTTTTCCTTTCCCCACAAAGCACCTTTGAGGTTCTTCCTACACCTCCTTCTTTGTCCCTCTGAAGTGCACTGTATTCTTTTTTATCCCGTTTGAGGATTGCAGTCGTCTATCAGCGCCGGTGTCATGCTTTCTTAATGACGTATCTGCATGGCTACTGTACGTTCCCTCCTCTGAAGTACTCACCATAATCCTAGGTGACTTTAATATTCCTGTCAATGCTAACACCTCAGCCACCTCTCAACTACTCAACCTAACTTACCTAACGCAATGGACACAAACCACCACTCACTCCAACAGCAACATCCTTGACCTTATATTCTCCCATCTCTGCACTCCCTGCAACCTCTCTAACACCCTCTTTCCTCCCTCCGCTCACAACCTTATCAGTTTCACACTCTCCCTATCTCAACACTACACTCAATACTTTCCTCCTTTGACCTGGTTACCTCTGAAGAAGTTGCCAAACATTTTTCTAAGGCCTTCTCACCACCTGTCCCCTCACAACTACTATGCCCCCTTTCCTGCTCTATCCTACACTCTCTAACCCAACCTTCAATCTCTCCCTCTACACCAGCACATTTCCTTACCTTCTTAAACATGCATTGATTACCTCCATACTCAAAAAACCCTCACTGGACCACACCTATTTGAACAGCTTAAGACCCATCTGTCTGCTCCCATTTGTCTCCAAGCTTCTTGAACACCTTGTCCACAAAGTTGGTACCTCATTGTTAACAACATTCTTGACCCCCTATAGTCTGGCTTCCACCTGCAGCATTCCCCTGAAATTGCCCTACTAAAACTCACTAATGACCTACTAACTGCTAAAATCAACAGCCATTACTCCATACTCATACCCTTAGACCTTTCCACTGCCTTTGACACAGTTCTCCTCCTACCTATCTCAGCACACTTTCAGTGTCACATACAACTCTATCTCCTCTGCTCTTTTTCCTCTGTTGGGGTACGTCAAGGCTCAGTCCTTGGACCCCTCCTATTCTCTCTTCCCTGGGTCAGTTGAAAGCCTCCCACGGTATCCACTACCACCTCTATGCCATCGACACCCAGATCTATGTATTTACTCTCCAGCTCACTCCCTCAATCTCTTCACATATCACAAATATACTGAGCATAATATCAGTATGGATGTCACACCATTTCCTCAAACTCAGTCTGTCAAAAACTGAGCTGAAAATATTTTCTCCTCCCTGATCCCCCCTAATGACTTTACCATTGAGATCAATACTACAAGTATTGGTCCCTCCACACACGTGCCACGGTGCTCGGTGTAATCCTAGACTCTGACTCCTTCGGCGACCACATCCTATCACTGGCTAAATCCTGCTGTCTTACCCTCTGCAACATTTCCAGAATTCAACTCTTCTTAGCTAACACCACAAAACAACTTATTCATTCCCTGGTTATCTCCTGCCTTAAATACAGGAACTCCCTCTTCACTGGCCTACCTTTACACAGGCTCTCCTCGATTCAGTCTATCATGAATGCTGTTGCTAGATTTATACACCTCACTAACAGATCTGAGGATGCTGCCACTCTCTGCCAATGCCTTCACTGGCTTCCAATTGCCCAACCTATAAAATTCAGACTACTAACCACAACAAACAAAGTCATCTACAACACAGCCCCCAGCTACATCACCAACCTCAAATGCAGATATTGCCCAAATAGTCCTCTCCACTCCTCTCAAGACATCTTGCTCTCTAGCTCCCTTGTTACCTCCTCCCATGCTTGCCACCAGGACTAGGCAATCCTTGAAAACTCATTTCTTCAGGGAAGCCTACCCCACCTCTACCTCCACCAAAAAACTGTACTTCGGCCACCTCCATCAGAACATCCCCCACAGCTATAACCTTTTGTACCACCTCCCGCTGATTTTTGATTGTAAGTACCATGCGCATAACCGTCCTATTCCTTCTTCTGTATTAAACTGTATTGTAATCATACTGTCTCCCTTTATATTGTAAAGCGCTGTGCACACCGTAGGCACTATATATATCCTGCATAATAATAATGTACTTACTAGAAATATAGTGTACTTTCCCTTTAACATTTGTATGTATTAGAAACACAGTTCATTCTATCAAAACCACTTCTGTCACTGGATCTCTATCCTCATAATAATAACCTATTAATTCTTTTAGTATGTCAGCTATCTGCGAAATTGCTATAGAGAATGAGTAGTAATTACTCTGTTTGTATCTGTGGCAGGTCCTCAGTCCTGCTGGTAAGCATAATGAAACAGGATTTTCCATCTGTTATATAACTGTGATAGTTGTGTAATCAACTCTATGGACTCAGCAGGAGATTGAGAGATCAAAGGGGAATTCACAAATACAGCATCAATGCAATTCTATAGAACTGCAAATTAAAAGAGACCTAAGCTAAACTATCGGCATTGAAAAAGATGAAGGGTAGGGGTATTGAAGTCTGTGTAAACATGTGGCTAGGCATCAGCTGTGATACGTACATCCTGCAGTGTTCCAGTTCCAGGTAATGTGACCAGCACGTCAAGTCACATGACCTGCGGCAGCTCTGCTGTTTGGATACTAACATCAGCAGTCTTCACTGACTTTAAAGACTTCGCTGACATTGGCCTCAACAGTTACCACTGTCCATCATCCAGCCGATGACACTGTTTAGGTAATTTAGGAATACCCTTATTGACCAATCCTAATGACTGCCACACTGATTATAATTGACCCAGATTTAGAGTTTTGTGGTAAAGGGAATCAGTGTACATTTTTCAAGCTCAGTCCAAAGTGAACCTGAGCTTTGCCTATGCAGTGCTAAGCAACAGGTGCACTTTAATTTAGAATTCCACAGACACATATACTTTTTTTTTGCTCTCCCACCACTCCACTTAGCTACCATTAGGAAAGGAAAGTTGCCAAATATTTGACTTCCTGGCAGGAATTAACAAAGACCGGTGCAAGCATAATGCTTGTGTCACTCTTCTACGGTTATACGGTTCTGGTTAAAATGTTTTCTTTTTCATCAGGACGAGAAGATTGTCATGAGGGACGAGTATATCGGGACAGATTTATTCCCTTGGACAAGTATTTTTTTTTTTTATTTTAAACCCCTGCAGTGTAAGTGCCTTTTAACTGTTTTAATAAAATAAAACTGTTGGATTTCACACTATTTGGAGCACATGGCTCCTTTTCTATTTTAACATGCATACACATGTGGTGAGATGACTGGAACTGGTAACATGCAGTAATGTTTCCTCCTGGGTGCCAATCCAATTGATGGGAGCCAGAAGCTTTCCATCATAGTGGTTTCAGCTACATTGTGCGTTTCATGACTTCTCTATAATTTAAGAGTCATATACTTTTGGTAAGCCTTTTGCTGTATCAGCACATTAATGGAGACATGTGGCGTGGGATAATCAGCATCACTTTTGGATGTGTTCTACAGATACTCAATTTTTATGAACTATTGCACTTGCACTGGTGTGTTGCACAAGTGTGGACTTTGGCAATCACTTCTACTTTGTTTTATCTTTGTAATTGTCAGCATGAGAGCATTACGTACATCTGCCTGGCCCTGTGTGTTGCTATTGCCTCTCCGAATCTGAGCTCAGCTGTACAGGGTATTGTTAGAGTTTGATACAAAGCCAAATTTAGATACTTAAACCACTTGCATTTTATGTATTAATGCATAAAGAGCTGCTTCCGCTTGTGTCTTTTATATCTATCATTTAACAAACATAATACCGGTTTTTAATTTAACTTACTTTTCCTTTAACCTAAAGATGTCTTTGTCAAACTCTGGGAAGAAGGTGTCACATTCAAAGTCCGCCATAATGTCAGTGAAGTAGATGTGATTACACCAAGGGTGCCTCATCATATTCTGCAGAGAGAAAACACTGGTGCGTGGGGGGCCACAGCAAGAGTCTAATTCCGTATGTTTCTCATTATAATAGACTACAGTCAAATCCCCAAATTCATAGATAAGATTAGTACACATATACAATTTCATAGCAGTTAAAAAAGCTTTCTTGGCAGGTCTCTTAATAGGTAGTTTAGTTGCAGTTACAAATGCAAAAATAACTTTGCCTATTCAAAACAAAGTGACAGGTTCTCTTCATACAATAAACCAAAAAATAACCGCGCAATAGGAAACAGAAAAAAATATTTTTTTTTATTGTGAAACAATATATTGAAATAAATAATAAACATGAAATCAAAGTCCATACAAAGGAATATATCCACCACTGTGCAATATTTTTCAAACGATGGTGCTCTTCAGATATAAAAGCACCAAAGTGCTCCTTTCACCATGGCACATGTATGTGCTTACCACAATGAGTGTGACTCTCAGCATTAGAGAAGTCAAAACACGCTTTATGTGAAGATCCCATGTTTCAAAGCCTCACTTGGACATTCAGTGCTCCTCAAGCAAGTTCACAAGTACACAATAAATGCTCAGAGAGATAAAGGAAAGGAGCAAAATGCAAACATAGTATAAATTCGTATATTAGGTTTATTGAAAGATTGTTAAAATCACTCACATTCTCATAGATAAAAAAAATGGCATTCAGTAATATAGTCCCGGGATCCTGATGGCAGCCGTGCATGCGTGGTGATGCTTTGATCTTCCGTCCCTCCCTAAGTATGTTTCGTGAAAAATGACATCATCAGAGGCACAGGAAGACCACAAGTCATCACTTTATATTTAACCCATGCGAAAAGGACTATAAGACCCTTGCAAGTCTGCCTAGGTGAGTATGTGGGGAATATTAAAAGAGGTTTCCCAGGTCATAACACTCTTTTTTGCTATCGATAAATATATTCCTCAGTGAAGGGGAGTTCCAACAAGAGGGAAATATCAAGGCTTGAGACAAAATGGATTTATAATCTCAGGACATTTACCCCTCATGGGTTAAATATAGAGTGGGACGCGATTGCTTTTATTAATATTATTTTGAGAAATGTATTGCTTTTATGCATTTTATTCTGATTAGATGTTCATAACATGGATTTAATGATTTTTATATGTATAGAAATGTTTATATGTATGTTTGTCATTACACCACAAGATGGCACCATTTCCTATGGACACATGGGACATATCAAATATAGGTGCCATTTAGTATTTTACCACAAGATGGCACATGCTGTGGTGGCCTGGTAAATTGCTGGGTTTATGTGCTAATTAAGCAACCTGCCTGCCATATTTTGATGTAATTGATAAGTCTAATTAAGGAAGTGGTGACTCTCAGTCTTCCTGTGCCCCTGATGACATCATTTATAACAAAACATATATAGGGCTGGACGGAGGATAGTGACGTCACCACGTATGCGCTGTGGTGCTGATCTAAGGTGTGAAGATTAATCCATCTGCGCTTTTTAGCTTGGATGGGGGAATCTATGGATTTCTGTCAGTCAAACTGTATAGCTGCTTATGCATGAGTTGAGCTTTAGCTCTGGTTCACACTGATGTGGTGCGGAATTTGCAACGTTTTCAGTGTGAATTCTGCACCGCTTCACAATCGCACTCCGTTCATGCGAACCGATGCGGGTGTGTATGTTAAGTTAACAACACCCCCACATCGGTCCGCAAAACACGGTGCGATGTGCAGAATCGGATCGCATAGGTGTGAATACCTATGCGATCCAATTCTAGTGTGGACCAAAAAAAGGGTCCTGCACATTTCTGGTGCGGGTGCGGTGCGAATGTGATTTGTACATGAATGCGATGCGGTTCCTGTGAGAATCACATGGGATTTACCACACCGCTGTAGTGTGAACCTAGGCTCAAAGAACTCCGGAATAGGCAGAAAAAAAAAATCACCCATTCGTACACCCCCTACACAAAACAGTAAACAGTAAATACATTTGTGAAATTCCTTACCATTGAAGAGAAAAGTCTAACTGAATTTTCAGGATGTCAGCTCTGTAATGCAAAAGATATCAGCATCTGCTCTGCCAAGGAGGAGGTGTAAAAGCAGGGATTACATCATATCCGCTTATCTCTCTTTACAGTAAAAGGAAACTACAGTTCCCATCAACACAGGGAATTGCATTGAATGTGGGCACAAGACCTGCACATGTTGAATATGTAGTCACCCACTTCAACATACATCACGTCCCCTCAAGCTACACTGCTCAGCACCACACAGCAGGATAGTTAGGTGACAATCTGACAAATGTAAAACATGCATGTGCAAAATGTTTAGTTCATTCTATGTACTGTAGTCTAATTTAATTAAAGATTTAATTCTCCCTCCTCTAGGATTTCTGTTACAGGCTGTGCCTGCTCTCTTCACATGCAATCTCTCCCCTCCAGCCACAACAGCAGATAAACTAATTGATCAGAGACTGTAGCCATGCTACAGGAGATGACTTGAAACATATCCCATGGGGTCACAGACAAGAACACATTTATAGTACAGCAAGGAAGGCTTGAACCTCTCACAATGTTTTTATGGCTGTTCCTGTGCCAGGGTCAGGAATTGAGGAGAGGTCTCCCTCCAGAGGGGTCACAGAAACAGGAAGTCCCCCTCCAGTGGGGTCACAGAAACAGGAATTGTTGGGAAGACTCCTTACGTAGGTGTCACAGAAACACAAAGCAAGGGAAAGGCTCCCTCCAGTGGTGTCAAAGAAATAGGAAGTCTCCCTCCAATGGTGTTACAGGAATAGGAAGCAAAGGGAAGTCTCCCTCCAGTGGGGTCACATAAATAGGAAATCTCCTTCAAGTGGGGTCAGAGGGTCAAGAAGTGAGGAGAAACCTCCCTTCAGTGGTGTCACATAAGCAGAAAGTCTCCTTCCAATGGGGGTCACAGAAACATGAAGTCTCCTCCATCGGGGTCACATAAACAGGAAGTCTCTCTGCAGTGGAGTCACAAAATCAGGAAGTGAGGCGAATTCTCCCTTCAGTGGGGTCACAGAAACAGGAAGTCTCCCTCCAGTGGTGTCACAGAAACAGGAAGTTTCCTTCCAGTGGGGGGTCACATAAACAGGAAGTCTCCTTCCAGTGGGGTCACATAAACAGGAAGCAAGGGGAAGGCAGCCTCCTGTGGTGTCACATAAACAGGAAGTCTTCCTCCAGTGGGGTCACAGACAAACTGGAAGTCTGCCTCCAGTGGGGTCACAGGGTCAGGAGATAAGGGCAAGTCTCACAGGAGCCCCTAAAATAATTTTTAGGTCTTAGGGTAACCCTTACTAAAACTAGTTCATTGGGAGTCAGTGAGAAAATGCCCACCTTACAGTTGTGGTCAGTAGGAACAATGTCCCCCTTATGTCGGTGGCCAGTAAATGGGATAATGTTGGTGGTAAGTGGGAAGAATGCCCCTCCTACATCAGTGGTCAGCAGGAAGAATGCCCCCTTATGTCGGTAGTCAGTGGGAAGAATGTCCCCCCTTTCACTGGTGGTCAATGGAAAGAATGCCCCTGTTCCACCATCACTGCACCCTCCCTGCACACATATTCCACCACCACTGTACACCTGGTGTTCCACCACTGCACTATCAGCACACATGTTCCAACCCTGTAATCTCTCTGCACACATGTTCCATCCCTGTAATCTCTCTGCACACATGTTCCATCCCTGTACTCTCCCTGCACACATGTTCCATCCCTGTACTCTCTGCACACATGTTCCATCACTGTACTCTCTCTGCACACAGGTTCCATCGCTGTACTCTCTTTGCACACATGTTCCATCGCTGTACTCTCTCTGCACACAGGTTCCATCCCTGTACTCTCTCTGCACACAGGTTCCATCCCTGTACTCTCTCTGCACACATGTTCCATCAATGTACTCTCTTTGCACACATGTTCCATCGCTGTGCTCTCTTTGCACACATGTTCCATCGCTGTGCTCTCTCTGCACACGTTCCATCGCTGTAATCTCTCTGCACACATGTTCCATCGCTGTACTCTCTCTGCACACATGTGCCATCCTGTACTCTCTTTGCACACATGTTCCATCACTGTGCTCTCTTTGCACACATGTTCCATCGCTGTGCTCTCTCTGCACACATGTTCCATCGCTGTACTCTCTTTGCACACATGTTTCATCGCTGTGCTCTCTTTGCACACATGTTCCATCGCTGTGCTCTCTCTGCACACATGTTCCATCGCTGTACTCTCTCTGCACACATGTTCCATCCCTGTACTCTCTCTGCACACATGTTCTATCTCTGTACTCTCTCTATGTTCCATCCCTGTACTCTCTCTGCACACATGCTCCATCGCTGTACTCTCTCTGCACACATGTGCCATCCCTGTACTCTCTTTGCACACATGTTCCATCGCTGTACTCTCTTTGCACACATGTTCCATCGCTGTACTCTCTCTGCACACATGTGCCATCCCTGTACTCTCTCTACACACGTTCACACATGTAAAGACGTTTTTGCCTGAAGTTCTGCTTTAAAGTAGAACTAAAAGCAAAACGCTTTTGTCATTTTGGTTAGAGTAAGGGAGAACTATAAAGCTCAATTTTTGCCATCTGTATCCCACTGGGTATTGAGGAGTTACAGCGCCATTCATTTTGATGTGCACTGTGGTGCAGAAATATACAGCAGGACCATTTTGTTAATACATTGAGGTACAGTTTGTTATAGCTCTGATTAATGTAACGCATTACAAGACACAAAAATCCTCTGGTGTAAATGTGCTTTTAGCCTAGGTTCACATTTATGTGGTTTGCAGTGCATTTCCTTTTATTTCTCGCAGCAGATTGTGTTTTCCGTGTAATAGAATTCAATGAAACCACATCATAAAATGCATGCAATTTTACATATATGTACATGCATTTTTGGTGCATTTTCTGCATGCTGATATACACCTTCCCCTAGAACATCCCAAAAAACATAAAACGTGTCAAAAACGTGTCAAAACCGTGTGTGAGAAAAAAATGCAAATCTCACCAGAAAAATGCATCAACCACAACCTACTTAAGTATGAACCTAGCTTTAGAGATGACCTGAACTTTTGCAAAGTTTGAGTAACCTGATCTAAAGTGCAGTTATTTTATGGTTCAGCTAACACCAGTACTGTCACCATCTTGTTAGAATACAGCTTCCCCTAGTGTTCATCACCCTGTGTACAGCACTTACCTTGTAACACTCTACACCTCCTAACACCCATACGGTCTCAATCTCTTCAGACAGAGGAGGCATCGATAAGAGCTCCAAAACTTCTGCTTCATCACGGCAGATATAATGAACATACTTCGGTAAGTCACTAGATGTAAAAAATAATTGAAGATATTGAAAAAAAAAACAGATTTGTATCGTGTCAATTCTATTAGAAGAAGAGTGATAAGATAGATGTGTAAGTAGGAAAGTGACTTTCCTAATCAGAATTCTAACTTGTCAAATGCTACAGATCCATCTATAAACTGCACACCTTCATGATTATCTAAAGCTGAAATTCAGTCTTCCCTTCAGTCTTGCACAAATGTATCCGCTTTTCTCCTGTAATAACTCTGATTTCATTGCACACTCTGAGCTTCTCACAGTGTGTATTAGAAGCTGATGCAACTCATTTCCTCACTGGAGGACGTCCAGCACCACTTAGCTCTTTCCTCTCCAACTTGACTGTCCTTGGCCCGCCCCTTTCATTCATTGGAGTTTCAGTCATAGAGGCTCAGCATCACACGTGGATGTGACCTACAGCGATGTGCATGCAAATGTAGCCTGCCTAGGAATGCCCATTCTTCCAGACTGACTTCAGTCTTTAACCGGTTGCCGGCCAATAGCACAAAGGTGGCCGGCAAAACACTTCGTCCCCCTCCGGGTGGAGGCCATATGGCGTCCTTTCAGGCATGTGCAGCGCGCCTGGCCACAGGGCCGCTCTGCGGCGCAATCTGTCACCAGCCGTGTACCGGCCCGTTTCCAGTACCATGTGACCTGCTGTGACCAATCACAGCAGGTCACATGACAGTTGTATACAATGGATGGCTTCCTTTAATGCCATCCATTGTATACATGTGTCTAGCTGTGAATGGTCACAGCAATCACATGCACAAGCTGGGCCAATCACAGCCCAGCTGTGTCATGTGATTAGCCATGGCCAAATCACAGCTAAGCACGAAAAAAAAAAAAACCCTGAAATGAATCGATGTCATTCAGTTAAATACTTGCTTATAGCAAAGTAATTCTTTGCTATAAGCAAATTGTGTAAAAGAAAAAAAAAATATTGATCACTTCCACAAAGTAGTACAATGTTACTATAGTAACATTATACTACTTTGGTCATAGTGAAATATGAAAAAAATCTTAAAAAAAGAGAAAAAAAAATGTAATAAAAAATAGAAAAAAAAAAATCAAATTTTTTTTTTTCGTACTGTCACTAGTCAGCGTCCCTGATCACTGCCATGCCAGTTATATGATGACGCTGTACTGCACTGGTGACAGTATGTGAAAAAAAAAATTGTGAAAATAATTTTTTAAATTTTTAAATTTTCCGAAAAATTAAGACAAAAAAATTACAACTTCAAAAAACTCGCCATGTCTCTTATGAAATACGTCGGACTGTCTACTTTGCAAAAAGGGGTAATTTGGGGGATATCTGTACTGTTCTGACATTCTTGGACCTCAAGAAATTAGATTGGCCGTCAGTACTTCAAGATTGATCAATATTCAGATATATCCCATAATTTGTGAACTCTATAACTTTCCTACAAACTAAATAATACACCCTAATTTGGGTTATTTTCACCAAAGACATGTAGCAGAATACAACTTGGCCTAAATTTATGAAGAACAATTATTTATTTGCAAACTTTTATAACAGAAACAAAGAAAAACATGTTTTTTTTCAACATTTTCGGTCTTTTTTTTGTTAATTTAGCAAAAAAACAAATACCCCAGAGGTGATTAAATACCACCAAAAGAAAGCTCTAGTTGTGTGAAGAAAATGATAACATTTTAGTTGGGGTACAGTGTTGTATAACTGCGCATTTGTCATTCAAAGTGTGAGAGTGAAAAATGGCCTGGGCAGGAAGGGGGTAAAAGTGCCCGGTATGGAAGCGGTTAACCACTTGACCTCTGGAAGGTTTTACCTCTTTCATGATCAGACCTTTGTATGCTATTCAGCACTGCGCTACTTAAACTGGCCATTGCTTGGTCGTGCAACGCTGTACCCAAAATAAATTTACATAATTTTTTTCACACAAATCAAGCTTTCTTTTGGTGATATTTGATCACCACTGGGGTTTTTCTTTTTTTGCTACATAACGAAAAAAAAAAAAACACTGAATACATGTTTTTCGTCATTTCTGTTTTAAAATTTTGCAAATAAATAAACTTTCTTCATAAATTTATGACAAAATGTATTTTGCTACATGTCACTGGTAAAAAATAACCTAAATCAATGTATATTGTTCAGTTTGTTTGAAAGTTATAGTATGTACAAACTTTCAGAATATATATATATAGGGTCAATAGCTAAAGACCTCCAAAATTCATGTGGCCTTCAGATTAGCACAACAACAGTGCATAGAGAGCTTCATGGAATGGGTTTCCATGGCCGATCAGCAGCATCCAAGCCTTACATCACCAAGTGCAATGCAAAGCGTTGAATGCAGTAGTGTAAAGCACGCCGCCACTGGACTCTAGAGCAGTGGAGATGTGTTCTCTGGAGTGATGAATCACGCTTCCCTGTCTGCCAATCCGATGGACCTGTCTAGGTTTGGCGGTTGCCAGGAGAACAGTACTTGCCTGATATTTTGGACAATTTCATGCTCCCAACTTTGTGGGAACAGTTTGGGGACGACCCCTTCCTGTTCCAAAATGACTGGGCACCAGTGCACAATGCAAGGTCCATAAAGACATGGATGAGCGAGTTTGGGGTGGATGAACTTGATTGGCCTGCACAGAGTCCTGACCTGAATTAAAGCAGAGACTGCGAGCCAGGCCTTCTCGTATTTTAGTAAGAGGCATGGCAAGTTTTTTGATGTTGTACTTTTTTGCCACAATTCTTTGGAAAATGAAGAAATTAAATAAAATTTTTTTTTTCCACATTTCACATTTTTTTGCAGCGTCATCATATGACTGGTGGGGCAGTGGTCAGAGATACTGGCTGGTGACAGTATGTGGGAATTTTTTATTTTTTTTAATAATATTGTATTTAATTTTTTTAAACATTATTTCTGTTTCTTTACAATATTTTTCTTTTTTTTTAATTTTTTTTCTTTTTTTACAACTTTTTTACATACTATCATCAGAGAAGCTCAGTGTCACTGTACTACTCTGAGAAGGTGATCAGGGATTTTTTTTTTCTTTTTGCACTGTGATTGCTTACAACAGCAATGATTACTGTTATAAGCAATCATATGAACTGTCATAAATGGATTTCATTCATGACTTAGTGTTTACTATTGTGATGCTGTAGTTGGTGACAAGTAATTATATGGTGCAGGGTGCTGTGATTGGCCCAGATACCATGCGATTACTTGTGACCAATCGCAGAATCACAACCATAAGCAAAATGTCACGAATGAAACCCATTCATTGTAGTTTGCTTTCAAGTTATCATGTGATCACTATGATTAGACATAGCCATCACATGATACTCTGGCTGCTCACAGTGGCTGGGTCCTGAGCGCTATGATCCGCTGTGTCACAGGATCACATGGCTGCGTGCCCCAGGGGGCCTTCTAGTGCACATGTGCTCATGTACTGGAAACAGAAGGTATTATTTTAAAAAATGTAACTAAATAAATAAAATGAAAAAAAGCACCAAAAGTAAACACGGTTTTTAATTTTATATAGAGTGGTGAGAGGTTATCACTCCTGTTAGATTTTCATTGCTATCTGTGTCTCCACTGAGATTTAGTTTGTATATATTTCTTCTCACTTCCTTGTCATGTTGACAGAAAATGATTGGAAATACAAACTTCTACATTTATCCTTGCGACAGGAACAGAGGGGAGATCTACAGTACATTGTAAATGGGAACATCTTTTCCGGGACTGACTATCGAAGAACAAAATTCACTTTATTGTGGCTGATTTTCTCTCTACACAACAGGAAGTGAAGAGTAATCTCTCCAAAGGGACACATACAACAAGAAAATTGTGAAAGGGGTTTGAACCCTTCCCTACTCTATCCCAAAATTAAAGATATACTTTAATTGACTTCTATCCAAATCTGACCCCAGGATGTCTGTGTGCCAGAATGACTGTTGCAGGCACAACTGCAGGACATAGACAGCAAATAGTAAACTCACTTGGGTTTTATCCCTGCTCTATCCTTTTCCAAACTCAAAAGTTTCCTATACATACACTTTAAATCTAAACTTCAGCTAGATATAAAAGACACAAATGAAAGCAGTTCCATATTTATTAATACATTGTTAAAGCCTCAGTTTAGTAAAAAAACAAAAAAACAAAACAAAAAAAAAAATCAGAGACATTACTTATTATCAATGCAAAGTGTCCCATGTGTTGCTGGCTCCTGCTTTAGTTGAAATCTTCTGCCTCCAATGTCCATCTTCTTCCACTCCTGCTTTTGTAATCTTCTGCAATGGCAGGGGTTAATAGAGCAAGGGGCATGTCATATGCACTCATCAAGAGTGGCGACTATGCCTGACCTTTCCACCCATTTCATCCATTCATAGAAGCTAATGGAAAATGATCTATGAATGGAGGATGGGCAGATGAATGAAAGTTCTGTCTCCTCCATTCATAGATCTTTTTTCATTCATAGACTTCTATGAATGGAACAAGTGAGTGGAAAATGCAGGCATAGTTGCGACCTACGATGAGTGCGTATGATAGGTCTTGGCTCTGGTAATCCCAGTTACATGAAAAGAAAGCAGGGTAGGGGGGCATCAGGAGAGGAAGATTTAAACTAAATCAGAAGCCAGCAGCACAAGGGACACATTGCACTGATAGTAAGTAATGTCTTTTTAGCTGTTTTTTTTTTTTTTTTTTACTAAACATAGGCTTTGTTTTACTTGGTATCAGCTTCTTGCAGTCCCTGTATAACAGAGCTCAATTGTGCTGCAGTGCCCATGTGTGTGATGACGTCGCTTCCACGACCCAACGCATTAATGCCTCTTGATAACGTCAGTGTGATGAAACACGTTGAGATGTAACCGGAAGTGACGTCATCAGACACAGTACACCCGGAAGTGACACTTGTAATTCACCCTGTAGTAGGTGTGAAGGACATTTTGGATTATACAGCACTTTTTTAATTAATATAACATGCAATTTATCCTTGGTGCAAGGTATAGCACTTTTTAATGTGAGTGGGAAATATCTAGGTATTTTATTTATTAACCACTTGCCTACCAGGCACTTATACTTCCTTACCAGGCCAATTTTCAGCTTTCAGCGCTGCCGCACTTTGATTGACAATTGCGCGGTCATGCAACATTGTACCCATATGAAATTTTGATCTCAAAATAGAGCTTTCTTTTGGTGGTATTTAATCGCCACTGGGCGCTTTACTTTTTGCGCTATAAATTAAAAAAAGTGCAAAAAATTTGAAAAAAAAAAAAAAAAGTTTATTTGTTTCTTTTATAAAATTTTTCAAACCTATTTTTTCTCCTTCACTGATTTGCATCGTTGATGAGGCAGCACTTGGGCACTGATAGGCGGCACTGATGGGCACTGATAGGCAGCACTAAAGGGCACTGATAGGCAGTACTAATGAGGTGGCACGGATAGGCGGCACTGATAGACAGCACTAATTAGGGGTCACGGATAGGCGGCACTGATATGCAGCACTGATAGGCGGCACTGATAGGTGACACTGATGATGGGTACTGATAGACGGCACTGACTGGCATCACTTCTGGGCACTGACTGGCGGCACTGACTGGCACAACCCCTGGGCACTGACTGGTGGCACTGACTGGCAGCACACTGGTGGGTGGCACTGGTGGGTGGCACTGGTGGACAGCACTGGTGGGTGGGCACAGGTGGGTGGCACTGGTGGGCACAGGTGGGTGGCGCTGGTGGGCACAGGTGGGTGGGCACAGGTGGGTGGCACTGCTGGGCACATGTAGGTGGCACTGCTGGGCACAGGTAGGTGGCACTGCAGAGTGGCACAGGTGGGGGCACTGCTGGGCACAGGTGGGGGCACTGCTGGGCACAGGTGGGGGCACTGCTGGGAATGGGTGGGCGCGGGGCTAGTGGGCGCACAGCTGATCGGAACTTGCGGGGGTCACTGCTGGGCACCGATCATCAGGGCACTGATCATCAGTGCCCTGATGATCGGTGCCGATCCCCGCTCTGAAACTGCCGGTTCTCGGCAGTACTTTCCTCACGATCTGACAGCGTGAGGAAAGTGCAGCCGAGAACCGGCACTTGCATTTTCCTGTGATCAGCGTTGTCATTGGACACCGCTGATCAGTGGTAAAAAGGCCGGTGGGATCGGCACCACATCTCGTGATCAGCTGTGTCCGTAGGACACAGCGATCACGGAGATCGCCGGGTGCGCGCCCCTGGGGCGCGCAGGAGAGCGCGTTTAGGACGTCATATGACGTCCACTCAGAACTGGCCGGCCGCGGTGAAGCCGTCATTCGGCTATGCGCGGTCGGCAAGTGGTTAATAGAGTCAATTGGTTTTACACTATAGTGGATCTCCCTTATTTTTCACATACTCCATCTGAGATTGCATTCCAACATTAATGAGAGGCGAAAGTCCCAGGATTATCGTTATTGGTGGATTCCCTGTGTAGAACAAGCGCTATATGACTTACCTGTAGTTGAGGGTCATATTGAGTTAGTGAGTTCTCTGGTGTGGTGGTGGTGGTGGGTAGATCACAAACAGCACCTTGATTGGAGATTTGTTGCACAGCAACAAAGAGCACTTTGATGGCACATTGAATTATATTATTAAGAAGGATTAAGAGACTGTCTTTTTGCACATGGACAGATTTTTATATGTGGCATTTATAGTTGTACATTATCTCTTGTGAGTCATTTGGTCTGTAAAATAAGTGCACTAAACAGAACAGTGCTGTATAATATAAAGTTTATAGTTTAATACCCAGTAGGGTATTGATACACAGATGTGCAGAACATCCCAGTGCTGGTAGTAATATATAATATCTATAGCTTTACAGTTTAAACTATTCCTGAAGTTTTGTGTGCTCTCTCATCTTTTTCTATCTTTTCCTCTTTATTTCATATCTAGCACCCTCCTAGATAGGTGGAGCTGCTTGTGATCACTTTGGTCTGCTCTGAGTTTCCCACCTTCTGGATGGTTCTGGAAGATAGTGGGCTGGGAGAATCAAATGCACAGTGTGAATATTTTTGTGGACTCAGCCAATCCCTGAGGAAGGGTGCCCAGTAGGTGTGTGGGAGGTAGCATAAACCATCTGAAACCTGGAGCTGAGGGGTTCTTGTCCAGGAGGAGGAAATCCCAGCCTGAAGGTCTGCTCACTTCTGGAGAGTCCAAGCTGTGCTTCTTCAATTTGATCAACAAGGTCCCAGCTGTGCTAGCTGGGGGGGGGGGGGGGGGGGGGGGGGTATTCTACTGAACTCTGCTGGAGCTGACTGAGGGACTTATTTTGGGCATCTGGTCTGAATAATTAACAGGAGATATGTCTGGCAGATATTGGAGGGAGGCATCCAAGTATCCAAAGACATTTTTGAGTACAGACCAGTGTGTGAGATCCCAATGACTATGTGCTGCTGCTGCTGTCTCTCTTTCATCAAAATTAGCTTGTACTAAAAAGTGAACATTGCTACTGGTGTCCCAGTGTAGCTCAGCCCATTTTTTGATGCACCCATCCAAGTTTTTTCAGTAAAGCATCAAAAAAGAATACCTTTAGACTAGGCATCACTAAATGGTGAACCATCGTCCTGATCCAAACCGAGTCAATGTCCTATCCGGACCGCTGTAGCCCCGCCATTTAGGTCCATTCTGCCCACAGCAGTCATTGCCGCTGCTATCATTCTTATTCTCACAGAGCTGTCAGCAGGAGGCAGGACAGCTCTGGATGGAGGGCAGAAGCTGCCCGAGTTAACAAGAAGGTGATTGGTTGCTAAGATGCAGGGAAGACCTAGCAACCAATCACCACCTTGCAGCTCCTGCCCTCTCTCCAAACCTGCTGTGCCTCCTGCCCTCCTCCCTGTCTGTGTAATGTAGGACAGGAAGGGGGGATGTGAAGGGGGTCTGAGGACATTAATGGGGTTTCTGAGGACAGTAATGGGGGGCTAAGGACAGTAATGTGAGGGGGGTGTTATCAGGACAGTGATGGGGGGACTGAGGACATTTAAGGGTGGCTCAGGACAGAAATGGGTGGCTCAGGACAGTAATGAGGGCTGAGAACAGTAATTGGGGGCTCAGGATAGTTAAGGGGGGAACTCATGACAGTGATGGGGGGCTTGGGGCAGTAATGTAGGGCTGAGGACATTAATGGGGTCGCTGAAGACAGTAATGGGGGGCTCAGGACAGTAATGGGAGTCTGAAGACATTAATAGGGTCACTGGGGGCAGTAATGGGGGGAGCTGTGGACAGTGATGGGGGGCTAAGGATGATAATGCGAGGGGGGGCTGAGGACAATAATGTAGGGGGGGGGAAAGGACAGCAATGTGAGGAGGGGCTGAGGACAGTAATGTAAGGAGGGGGGGCTGAGGACAAAAATGGGGTTGGGGGGAGCTGAGGACAGTAATGTAAGGAGAGGCTGAGGACAAAAATGTGAAGGGAGGTATTTTGATGTAAAGGAGAGTGACTATGAGGTGAAGGGGGGACTGAGGATGGTCAGGACAGTAATGGGGGCTAAAGGACAGAGGACATTAATCACGGAGGGCAGTAATAGGGGGGAGCTGAGGACAGTAATGTGGGGCTAAGGATGGTAATGTGAGTGGGGCTGAGGACAGTAATGTAATGGAGGCTGTAATTGGGGGGCTAAAGACAGTAATGTAAGGGGGATCTGAGGACAAAAATGAGAGGATGAGGACAATAATGTCGGGGGGGGGGGGGGCAGAGGACAGGAATGTAGGTGGGGGGGGCTGAAGAAAGTAATATAAGGGGGGCTAAGGACAGTAATGTGAGGGGGAGAGCTGAGGACAGTAATGTGAAGGAAGGTATTTTGATGTGAAGGGGAGTGACTATAATGTGATGAGGAGACTGAGGATGCTGATGTAAGAACAGGATTGTGATATAAGGCTCCATTCAGATCTGTGCTAGTGTGTTGCATGCGCATGTCACAGGTAGGGCAGCCCATTCATTTTATTGGGCTGCCCTACCCACGTGAAAGAGAGGGTAAGAAGTCCCGACCCTTTTTTGCAATTGCACTGCATCAAGCTGCATGGTGCTTCAGCACCATGTGGTTAGGTCAGCATGAAAATGTGCCGTATGTGTGGGGGTGCCTTTAAGAATTCATGACACCCTCACACATCTGTGCAGCGCATTTCTCTATGAGTCGGGAGCGGATGTGATTTTGCACATGTTCCCCAGCCACAGACATGTAAACTTAGCCTAAAAACAGAGGAGACTGATGTGAAGGATCTGAGTCATTGCACGGAAATGCGATTTGGACACTTGCTGGAAGATAGTTATACTGTCTGAACCTCTGTGAATTTTAATTCAATCCCCCTGCCCTAGACTGATCATTGAGCTGGAGAAGTGACTAAGACTGTGTGCCTAGCTGCTAGTGCATCTGCTGAGGAAAGAACCTTGGGAACAAAACAGCGGGCCCTTTAGGGGGGTGAGCGCTACATATTTATTGTAATATTTCCTTTATTCTTGTCTCTACCTGTGGTCCCAGAAATCCCATTACCTCAGTTTCCTGGTCAAGAGGACTATAACACTGTTTGCCAGAGGTAATAGGTTCTCATCAAATGACTCAAAAGACTTTCGGCCCCAGACAAGCAGATTTTTCTTTCCTATAGACAAATACATAGGCATTGTTATACGAAATACCAGATCTGTAAGATGAAAGGTTATATTGTTAGTTTGGTTGAAAGAAGACATAAGTCCATCTACTTCAACCAATAAAAGGAAAAAATGTTTTTATACAATCCTATACCTACAGTTGATCCAGAGGAAGTATAATCCAATTTGCACCAGCAGATGAAAAAATCCTCCCTGATCCCCTAGCTTGTCAGTACTACTGTACTTTTTATCAGCATGAAACAGTGATGGGGGGGGGGGGGGGGGAGAAGCTGATGCTCCTTCACTGAATATGTACACCAGGAGTCTCCAAGATTTCTAAACAAAAGGTCATTTTACTGTCATTCAAACTTTAGGGGGGCTGGACTGTAGCCAGTAGAAGTAGAAGATGTCCTGGTGTTAGTGGGAGCAAACAGTGTCCCCTCTTTGGTATTAGGGGGAGGAATAGTGCTCCATCATTGGTGTCCTTGGGAGGAATAGTGCCCCATCCTTGGTGTTAGTGGAAGGAATAGTGCCCCATCCTTGGTTTCAATGAGAGGAATAGTGCCCCATCATTGGTATCAACGGCAGGAATAGTGCCCCATTGTTGGTGTCAGTGCCAGGAACTATGCTCTATTGTTGTTGATGGTGCGGGGCCCAAGGGCCGGATAAAAGCAAGCAAAGGGCCACATCTGGCCCCCTGGGCTGCAATTTGGAGACCACTGATATACATTAACATACATAATTCACTGCTAAGGAGAACAATTTCATTTGTTTTCATTGAATATTTGATGTCTTACCTGGCTGTTCTACTGTTGTTAATTTGTTTAACATATACTTAAATTCATTCCTGGAAAAAAACACATCTTCAGTTAGAAATATTCAGTATTTTAAAGGACCAATACAGTATCAGACAACATACAGTAATGCTAGCCATATATTGATCGTTATTTTGGCTGCTTATGCAGGGACTGGCTGAACTTCGATCAGTGTGTGGCTGTCTCCGTTAAGCAGAAGTCAATCATTTAATTGACTTCTGTCAAAGGGACATGTGGGAAGGTGCAGCGTTGTGTGGAAGTAGTAAATACACAGAGTCCAGCTGCAGAAACAAAACTTGTATTATAGTTCAACTTGACAAACAGCCTGGCAGAAAGGCACCCAACACCGAACACTCACAGTTTGTAGCAGCAATGTGGAATGGAGCAAGTTTTGGATATGCTGACAGCTTCTGTCTCAGAGGGAGGAATGTGGCTTGGCTGATCTGCACCCAAATGGGGGGAAGGATAGCGTGTCCCTATCCTGTCCCTACTCATCTTATCGGTATTCCCTTTCCCTGATAGGTAGGTGAACTGTCCCTATGCTACCCACTTGCAAAAAATGCGCACCAAACCCAGTAGCCAGAGTTTTAAATAGACTCTGCCTGGCCCAAGATGGACACCAGAGTCACATGGGGTAGCAGAATCCAACTGGAAAGCTTCGCAAGTGACCCAGGAAACCATAGAGGAACATTGTTCCTCTTCACTGCCTCTCCCTCTGTTATGTTGCTGTGGTTGAGTGCCACCTTCAGTGGAGAAAGTAGACTGCACCTGCCTACAGACAGGTTGGAAAATTTTCCAAAAAAACTCAGCATGTATGGCCAGCTTTATTCTTGTTGGCATGTTGCTTGTTGCTCTCCCATGACTGCGAATCACCACAGTTTTTGAAGCCTTCTGTAAAATCTTTACCCTGGCCATGCCTACACAGTAGATCTCCATGGACTTTATTGGGGACTTACCTCTGGAGATGGTCTCCTAGATGTCTATGGAGATTGATTGCTGCCATTGCTGATTCTGTTACATTTTTTAAGAGTCCCCATGGGCCACAATGGCTTCTGGGGCCCCAGACAGCCATCCATTCTACCCTTAATATAATCCACTGCTGGATGTCTTCTGCTTAGTATATTGTACATATATCTCCACCTTCAGTGTTCCCAGTGACAAGTTTGGTAATATATACAATTGATGGTTTTACTTAAAACACAGCTCAAATGTCCTTGAATTCCTGCTGAACAAGTCAAAATCCAAGCCATGAGTGGCCCCATTGGTCTCACCTGGTTTAACAAAAATTTATTTAAAAATCATCTGAAACCATATGGAAAACTGTCAGCATCCTATCAGATATCATTGTTGGGTATTCAGACAGCCATGGCTGTCTCAGTTGCTGAATGTAATATCTGGCAAGAGAAATGACTCAGCCCATACTTTTAGTGGACTAGACATACAGTATCTGTCTGATTTCTATTACTTCTCTCTGCAAAATCCTCATTCCCATCTGTTAAATTACATGCACATTTTTCAGTTATGGTTGCTTGACTGTAGTTTTTAAACCATATGTGGGGTAAGACCAGGGTCGGTGCTAGACTATTTTGCACCCTAGGCAAGACCAGATACTTGCACTCCCCCCCCCCCCCAAAAAAAAAAACCCTTCATAATAAAACTCCACACAAAGCTAATCCTTGCCAACGTGAGCTCTGTGTGGAGACTGACTGGGGAGCTGGGAGGAAGTGATATTGTGCACAGCACGGCTTGCGCTGTATCTCATTGGCTGGATACCTCTGCTTCACGGATTGGCTTCATCTACAGCTAACATCATCCAATCCTATCTGGGGGTAGTGACACCGGCACCCAGAAGTGACGTTTTAAAAGTTGCTTCTGGGTCATTAACAGGAAGGCAGGATCAGTGAACAGATGTTCACTGATATCCCTCCCTCGTACTGGTGGCACCCACCATGGAGGTCCAAGGTCCGCTGATAAGTCCGTGAGGCCTGGGAACCATGGCAATGCACATGGGGAGTGTGGAAGCGATCTGGAGGCTGCACAGCTATTGGATCATTTCTACCTTACAGTCAGCCTGTCAGATTTCCACACACTGAGATGCTTCCTGTTAGTTCCTATTTGCACTTTTACCATCCCCCAACCACTCTCCATTATGCTGTGGAGGCACTGCCACCATAGTACGGGAAGGGGGGTGGGGGGATGGGTTTAAACAACACCCTGCCACTAATGCCATACTACAGTAGCAGTGCTTTTGCAGTTAATGGGGAGTGGTTGGGGGTCGGTAAAAGATGCACATTTTTGATGTCCCTCAAATACAAGTGTAAATAAGAACTAAGAGGAATCATCTCACTGTGCTTATGTGATTGTCATTATCATGATGATGATCACACTGTACAGAAGGTGCTGTATGTCTGTCTGTATACACCATATGGCTGTATCTCTGTCTGTGTCTCAGAAAACAGAAATTGGGAGCTTGCACCAAGTTCTTATTGCTGCCCAACTGACAGGAGGAGCCGCAATGATGTCACACCCGCCCATGTGCACTAGAGTCTCAGCCACGGCACAGCTCTCTCAATGGATGACACGCCATCCATTGAAAGCACAGTGTGCATGTGCTGGTGACATCATCGGCTCTGCTAAAGTAAATATCTCCGATGCACGTTTAGGAGTTATTTACAGTACCTACAGGTAAGCCATATTGAAGGCTTACCTGTAGGTAAAACATAAAAAATAGACTTTACTTCCACTTTAAGCAATAGGGTTAGCTTAGGAGTTTGTCTGGAGTGCCACTTTAAGATAAAATGTGGGTTTACCTTCAGATCCAGTTCACATATATGCAAATTGGATGAGTTTTGAACTGAGCAGGCTTTTCTACAGAGCAGGCCAGCCACTGTGCGATATAAAAAAAAATCAGGTACAATTTGCAGCCCGATTGAAGCGTGATTTCCAATGTCATACACATTAACAATTCACATTGGAATCACACCTGAACTGCTGAACAAAGTCGCAGCGGACAGGGCTGAAATCGCGCTGTCAAAACCGGCCAGCACATATGTGAACCCAGGCTCAATTCTGCATGACTTTCATTTTTAAGTCTTTAGCGTTGTATTGCTTTTTGTTTTTGGGACTTACATGGGTAACATATTATTGCAAAAATACTTACGGTAGATTCCAGGGTAAGTTCCCATTGAGACCAATTCCCATATTATTGCAAGCAGCTGCAATCAATTTTATTGGTTTGGATGTGATTGGTGCATCTGATTTGGACATGGTAGATACTGAAAAGAAGAAGAATTTATTAAACCTGTTCTCTGTGCAGATGTGAAACACTAATGAATTAAGTTGTGGATTCATAAAAATCACTATTTTTAACAACAGCTAGCGTGAGTACTTGAATTTGGCTTGATTTCAACCTCCTATAATCTGTTGCACAGTAAACCGCAGACTGGGGGAGGGAGAGATAGTGCTCTGAGTGAGTTTAGTGCTCCATTTACATTTATATGACAAGGAACATTCTGACATGAGGAGAGAGCAAGGAGAAGAGCTTATCAGCCTGTTGCTGCTCTTTCACTGTCCAGTGAAACACTGGGGGCAGAGAGGTGACCTAACCAGACCTGGCTCTGTCTTCCCTTTGGCAAGGAAAACTACTCACATACTTAGATTTCAGAAGTACATTTAGCTGTCTTCATCAAAGGGTTACTAAACCCAGGACCCTGCATTCACTATATCTGGTCTCCCACAGTACACACAACATGGAAATACAATTGTTTTAGTAAATACAAACTGCTAAATACCTTTTCTCATCAGCAGTACATAGCAGTCTTGTAACTTCTATCAGTGTCTGGCTGAGCACTGGTTAAAGATTGTAGGGGTAGTTTTCATTCTCCTCTAACTGTCCCATGAGGCTGCATAACCCCTGACCCTCTGTGTGGGCAGTGCTGATTGGCCCTGTACTGTTCACATGCACTCTGCCAAAATAAAAAATTCTAGCAATACAAGGCAGGATCGAAGAGTCTTTTTACACAATGCCCCTTAGGTTCCACAGTCAGTATAACAAGCATGCTTTACTGCATATACAGACTGATTTTACTGTTGTGGGTTTAACACTTTAAAGTGTATGTGAACCCTGACAATGAAGTTATGTTATCTGCTTCATTTTTGTCTGTAAAATATACCATTGAAAATATTGGCTTATATATGTTCAATAAATGCAAAACTGCTTTATCATGTCAAACATTTAGAGCTGTCCCATGCACACTTCCTGTGTTATCTCTAGGAGTCAAATTAGTTCTTCTCTTGGATTACAGAAAAATGAGTCACTATATTGCGGTGAATAGGATAGCGGAGGATTTGAGAAAAAGAAACCTGGGCAGGGCTGACAATAAATGCTGGGTGTTGCCAGCCTACAGCAGGACCTAGGTGCTGAGTGCATGTCATGTAGAACAATAGGTATCCTTTTGTACTTGCAGGGTCTTTAAGGGGATAACACATTATGAAAAGTACATGCATTGCAGGGAAATACTGAATATGCTTGTTTTTTTTTTTCATTTTGCCATGACATACCGTACGTTTTAGTATTTATTAAAAGTACATTTATCTCAAGAAAACATATGCTAAAGGGATTGGCAGTCTTAATATACAAGCCTACTCTTTACTGAGAGGCATACAATTACTTCTCAAAAGTATATGTTTTTGCCCGTTTGTGAAATTAAGGATTGTATAGAAAGCTAGGAAATCTTTAGAATGCCAAAAATATTTCACATGGCATTCTATCCACCTGCCGAACAGTCAAGTAGCTGGTACATCAATGGACTTCTACAGCTTTACCGGGATCTCCCGTCCCACTGGAAGTCTCAATTGAACAGCCATCGCTTCCATTGGCTGATCACAGAGCCAAACATAGACTGGATCGGCTTGGTTCGACTCTATGCTATAGTAACCCCAAAGTGATGACCTTACATCACTTCTGGTTTACTCGAAAATAAAACTCACCATTTTTAAAAAAGAAAAGCATTTGATCTCACTGGTGTGGTTAAATGCTTTTAAGGGCAGAGCAGGGATCTGGGGTCTTATTGACCCCAAATCTCTCCATAAAGAGTACCTGTCACATGTCTATTGCTGGCACAAGGAATGTTTACATTCCTTGTGACAGGAAAAAAGTGATCATAAATTTTTTTTTGTAAAGCGACAGTGTGAAAAAAATAACATTTAAAATGCCCTTATCCCCCCATGCTTGCCTAAACCGTGATCATCCCACACATCTGAGGTATCACTGCGAATGATCATGGGCAATAGTTTTAGCACCAAACCTCCTCTGTAAATCTAAAGTGATAACCTGTAAAGGCTTTTAAAATGTTGTCTATAGAGAGTAAAATTTATGTTGCTTCTTGTTGTTGCACGGGTGTGTGCAATTTAAAAATGTGACATGTTTGGTGTCTATTTACTCGGCTTAACATCATGTTTTATATTTTTACCAAAAATGTGGTTATGTATTGTGTTTTTTGCATTAAAATTCAATAAAAAAGCGTATTTCTGCCAAAAAATGGCATTTGAAAAACCGCTGCGTAAATACCATGTGACATACAGAAATTGAAAAACAAACCAATTTATTCTCTAGGGCCTCTGTGTTTAAAAAAATATATAAATGTTTGGGGGTTCTAAGAAATTGTCTAGCAGAAAATGCTGATTGTTATATGCAAACAAAAAGGCAATCCAGCAAAGTAGAAAATACTAGCTTTTTTGTTGCAAAAAGTAGGTCAGTACTGGTCTTTTTCTCTTGTTTTTTTCAGTAAGAAACTCCTGTACTTTATTTTGCATTTCTTTAATTTTTATGTACATCTTTTTTCCAAAAGCATGTTGTATAATGCCTGGGTATTGTATACAATGCCTACGGAATGTATACAGTATATTGAAATAACACAGGCATTTCATGTTTTGCCTAAAAATGTCACGCATTCTATAGATTGCCTAGGTCAGGGGTAGGCAACCTGTGGCTCTCTAGCTGTTGTGGAACTACATTTCCTATGAGGCATTGCAACTAGAGATGAGCGAAGTATTCAAAAATTCGATTCAACTGATTCGGCGAATTCGTGGACAATATTCGATTTGAGTCGAATATATTCGCTGTGAATTTAACTTAAAAAAGGGTGTTTCTAGGCTTCAGAGAGACTTAATATTAGTGCAGAACACTGTACCTTTAATTTAAATGCCCTTGGAGTCTGCTGGGGAAGAGAAATAATACTGTCAGTCAGTATGACATGCAGATGAGTGCCGTCGATCTTAGAATCACCGCACACTTCACTCATTTGGCCAGTCACGGGGCCAAAACCAGTGTTTGGAGCCACAGTGTGGCGGTGGAGGCAGCAGCAATGGGAGGCCATACAGCAACCTATGACAAAATGGAAACCAGCAGGAGTGTGAGGAGACCTCAAAGTGGCACATGGCAGAGTGGGAGCAATGGGAGGCGGTACAGGGACCCATGTTACACTGTGGACCCAGCAGCAGCGTGACGAGGCGGTACAGGGGCCCCATGGCAGATTTAGGGCCTGGCAGCACCTATGGGAGGCCTGTAATCTGCCAGCAACCTATGACAAAATGGAAACCAGCAGGAGTGTGAGGAGACCTGAAAGTGGCACATGGCAGAGTGGGAGCAATGGGAGGCGGTACAGGGACCCATGTCACACTGTGGACCCAGCAGCAGCGTGACCAGGCGGTACGGGGGCCCATGGCAGATTACAGGCCTGGCAGCAGCAATGGGAGGCCCCTAATCTGCCAGC